AGCAATTTTCCTCTGTAAAATAGTTTGTTCATGTCTTTGGAGTCCTGGAGCACAGGAATAAACATTATAACTTGTACAGGACAAAAACTATTGACATTTTTCCAAAAGAAGTCCAGGCGTTTGGGGCCTCATGAAATTCACTGGTGCCAAGCCTCAAAACAGTTCCTATCAGCAATCACACAGAGGGCCACATCACAGGTTTTGCATTTCTATTTTATTTATTCTTTTATTTATTATGTTCTTTTTATTCTTTTATAATACATTTATACTACTATAATACTTTTTTACAGTAAATAAATAAATGGCACTTCAGCTGGGTCTATCCTGGTAATCTAGTTCCTCATCTGTCAAAAAGCTGTGAAAATCCATCATCCTGCAATGCACCAAAATAGACCAGCGCTTTATTTACGTCCATTTCGCTGTGTTTCTCTGTGAATCGCACGTCTCCGTGAGTCTCTCTATCTCTCTACACTATATCAGCGCTTGGTTCATGCGTAATGACGCACACCAATGTTTACTACGGATCAGCCTGTAATTGGTCAAAAACCATCACGTGAAAATATCACGTGATATCCAGAATGGCCGCTAGCGTCGAGCTAGCGGCAAAAATGACCAAATATTTATGAATTATGGACTTCAAGATTATCAAAGTTTGACATAAAGCGTTTGGATTTATTGCTGAAAACCTCTGAAAGGAAGCACAAGTTCCAGGCTGGATAGAAAACCTTCTGTAAAGGCTAGAAAGACCCGAAAGACATCCCCGTGATGGCTAGCTCGTTAGCTTTCTGCTGGAAAAAACGGTAAGAAAATCGATAAATCTGTCATCGAGTTATGTAAACATTTACCGGAGGTGACGTGTGGCGTCGACGACGATGCCGTCGGGCTCAGGGCACTTAACTGTCACCGTCCCACAGGTGGGACGTTTGCCACTATATTTTTAAAACAATAATATCTTAGTAAATACCTTAAATAATATTGACAAACTATATATCATTTGAAAGCTTACAATCTCTAGTTTCCATATTTGGTGACTGATTTTCAAAATATATTACAGAGGAGCCATAATTTATCAATATAAAACAATAATATTTTCATACTCATAAGGCGTGTTCAGACCTTTGTTTTAAAATAGCAATAAACATGAAAAATCATGAAAAAATGGTAGATACCTCAGTTTGTTTTCATGCCAAAAGTTCAAAAGATAGAATCCATTCAATTATTTTGGAAAAAAAAGGTCTGAAAAGTTTAAAATATCAAGAAAAAAATAATAAATTCACCATTTGTGACGTGGCAGCTAGCTATGACTTACATGCGTGTTCTTTGTATGTGTTTCTTAGAGGTTCAATTCATATCAAAATCTGCCAAACTTCCCATGCTACTCCTGAATAGGATCTCTACTTCAGAAATTGTATGAAAATTGTGAAAATAATGGTTCATATCACTCAAAACATGAATGGAAATGCAGACGCCCTTATATGGGCAGTAATGGAGTCTGATTGTGCCCTAGTGAAAAAGTTGGGTACTGCGCTCAAACAAAATCTTACTGAAAGCTCATTTTTTGAGATATCAACCTAAAATTTGAAACACAACTTGTTCAGATTTTTGGCTTTGATCTTTCTGCCATTTTAGAGTAGCCCAGGTTTTGAAAATATATATTTTATGTAACTTTTTTTCTGTTTCACTTTCTTAATTTATTTCACTTCTACAAAAATCTGCCAAATGTCTTCTTTAAAACAAGACCAATCGTCTATATTCCAAAGCATTCTTGAATTACAACCATTTAAGTTCGAAATTTGCATTTTCATGTCTATTCAAAAAAGGGGGGGTGACAGTTAACAGGTTAAGGGATATCCTGTACCAGCTTGTAGATCTCACATCGTTTGAATTATAAGGTTTTGCATTATTCGTGTCTCCTAACCGCAGACATTTTCCTTCTATTGTATTGCTTGTTCTCCTAATAAGTCACTACAGACGGCTACTCATGTACTGTGTTTGTAACCCATGATCCGTAAAAACATGACCCCTAATACAGTGCTCTGTATGCTCCCACGTGTCCCAGAATAAATCTCTGTTCACCATTGAGTTGGCCTCTGACATGAATGAAACTAATCTCTTGATTGTTTTTTTTTTTTTTTTTTTTTTTTTTTTTTTTTTTTTTTTTCACGAGGGAACATGAACATCTATTCTGAAGAGATTAGCATTACTCGATTGGTCCTCGGTCCCGCTTTAGTTTCATCTTTCTGTCTGATGCATCATAGACTTGTGCGCATTAGGTAAACCTTGCCCTGATTGTGTCCAGGACCTCCCTAAAAAGAGCTAAAAATAATCCTCTTGTCAAAACAAGAGTATTGTAGGTTGTGCTTTGGTGACTTGAAATGCTGTAGAATCATCCATGTTTTAAATCCTGCATTGAGCAGATTTCCACACTTGCTTTGTAACATAGCACCTCGTCCAAACGGCGGTTGTGTTCTTCTTCCATGTGGATTCGCACATTTGACTGCTACTGCACAAGCATTAGTGGTCCAGTCTACTGCGTTCATGTCACTAAACGTATTTGCAGAGTTTTCATCTACTACGACTACTACGTCGACCAGTGCTTTAGTTACGGTTTTGTAGCATGTCAGAGTTTAAACTGCTTGAAGGCCAATCAAATGCTTCGTGTTGTGAAGTGTCTCTGTCAGTGTGTGGAGTGGGTGTTGTTGATTGCTGCTGCCCAAAATCTATTGATTAAGGGCGTACTTTAAATTTAGCTGTAACACTTTGACTTATTGATGATTCATATGCTCAAATACAAAGTTTAATCAAACATAAAGGTAATTTAATCATAAAATTACTAATGTTTTGCATTAAGTGTTAGTGTAACAACTAATATTATGTTTCTTTCTTGGAAATGCACAATTGAGTTTGATATAGATAAAATTAGCTTTTGTTAACAACAGTAACATGAAAACCTAACTTTTATTGAGAAAAATTGTAAAAAAAAAAAAAAAAAAAAAAAAAGTTTAAATTTATCACATTAAAAATAACATTTTAAGGTGCAGTCTGTAACTTTTTTGTGTGTTCAAAATGTGCAAAAATAAAAAAATGAGTGATTATCATGATTCCATTCTACAAACCATGTTTAAACCGAAATATTTTAGACCGGTCGGCACCACTGCATGGTTGCCCAGTGCCTGCGTGACTTGTCATGGACATAAACGGAGAGAAGACACATGCAGTTCTGGTTATTAACCACTAGAGCGCCAAAAGTTACGGACTGCAGCTTTAAATTGGATAATATTTAGAACTTTTAAGGGCTGGAAAAAGTGTGAAGCACTTGAAAGTCATAGAAAAGTGCTTGAATTTCATTCTCAAAAGGTTGTACAAACCTTGAAATGCACTGTCGGCCCTGACCAATTTGCTGCCCTAGACAAAATTTTACTTGGTGCTCCTTGCAACACAGCCAATTCCACCACTGATCATTTATACAAGCACAGAAACTGCATTATTGCTGTAATAAATGTGACCATTGGCTGTTACATATATACTGGTGAAACTATACAAAAATAGCACCTACACCAAATTATAGCCTAAACACGCATAGCAAGAGTAATTAAATATTCATTGAGCACTTCTCTGGAATACTGTTTTTTTCCAAATTAAAGCCATTTTCTCCATTGACATTGCAACTTTCAAGGCCCAGAAAGGTAGTAAAAACATTGTTAAATATAGTCCATTAAGTTCAACCTTAATGAAGTGACAAGAATACTTTTTGTGTGCATAACCCCCCCCCCCCCCCCCCCAAAAAAAAACAACTTTATTCTAAAATCTTTTCTCTTCCATGTCATTCTCCTACGGTGTTGACGTAGTGTAAACAGTTCAGCGCTTCTGGGTTCTACGTAGAACAAAACAAAACTTTTTTAATTGTCCTATTCCAATACCGGTTGCTGATTTATTTATTTTTTCTTTAAGCAAATTTGTTTCTTTGTATATTTGCTCTATTGCAGGCCAAACTGGCCTTAAACTAATTTGAAAGAGGCAACCACTGCATTTTAATGCTACCAAAGGTGCTACACACATGTAGCATGAGCAGTTGTTTTGATTTAAACATTGCATAATTACAAAACTTAAGAGCAAATACAGAATGATTCAACTTTAAAATTGTAAATTGTTACAAAAGTCACGTCTACATAAAACAAACAGACAGACTGAATGAAAATGTGATTTCATTCTTTGACAGCTGGTGGCTCTTTTGGAAAATAAGCGTTTCTTTGAAGGAAAGAGGAAAAGAACAAGCCATCGAACCTATTCTGAAGACAGTCACTTCCCTTCAGAGATGCATTCGTATTTAAACACCCACCCCAATTCTATATTTTCTTTATACGTTTCGAACATCATGAATTGTGATCTTGCTGTACCTGATATTAGCTCTGCTGCGCGTCTGCGCTCTCCTCTTTGCGTCCGTCTTCGACGTATCCCGTCTCTAGCCTGTGTTAATGTCCTGTTAACATAATATTTTCAGACAAATTTGATTGAAAGTGATTGAAATGCCATTTGTGAGCAAGCCTGGCATAGAGATAAGCCAAAATTAAACAAAAAAAAATGTTTCTGAGTAATGGCTGGTTGACCGGTGCATTTCTAGGAAAAAAAAGTCGCACCAAAACAATCTTTTGTACTCACAAAAATACTCAGAAAAAAAAAATATTGCACAGGTTCAATTTCTGTCACACTTGCAACCAAAGTGTCCCAATTTCGTGCCTTGAGACATGAGAGAGGGTCTTGTGTGCCAAAGTTTCCCAATCAAGTCAGTCTTACCATTTATATCACAAAAGGGTTGGTATATTTGGCTATGTATGTCATTTGATGCTATTTTTTTGTGTGTGTCCTCAGTTTCCAAGGTAATCCATAAAGTTATAAAGTGGGGCAGAGTCCTTTCTTTAATGTAGCAGATCTCAGTGGGAATATTTGCATCAGGGCTAATAGCTTTATCACTAAATCCATGTTTGGACCTATTCTTTCAGGAAGAAGTCACAGAAATGGGATGAAATGAATATTTTGGCCACATATCACCCGGCAGATAAGGACTATGGGCTGATGAAGATAGACGAACCCAGTACACCATACAACAGGTGAGCAGCACATAAATTACCTGTCATTAATGCCTTCTAGATTATGAGTGGGTCATATACCAGTTTTGATTTGAGTATCACTTCTAATGTGGTTGTGGCGAATACTAAAGCAGAGATTCAGGAGTGAAGCTGCTTTCTGCCTATTACATTGAATGAGAAAATGAAGATGTGCTTGTTAGAACAAATTGTATTGATTTAATTGTATAAGGAATGGTTAATTGATGTCTTGCCAAACTGGTTTTCATGTATAAAACATGAAATTGGGAAACTGTACATTTGTTTTTCAATTAGTCAGGACTTTGCGCTGTGCAATGAATATGTCTTGTTTAGAGTAGTTTTCCTGTAACATGGACTTTCAGGTTTCAATAAGTTATGTCACTGCATTGAGGGTAGCCTATAGCATTTTATGCTACTTTTTGGAGAAAAGTTATTGTTTAGAAGTTCAGAGGCACTGTATGGATTGTAAATATTGGTAGTTCGAACAGTTTCTCTGGATATGTTACTGCCCTATCTGCAAAATACAAGGACAGCACTGAGGCTGCAACTCAATATGACAGGGCAAATTTGCAGAAAAGGTCACATTGTCTTTTTCCCTTTGGGCAATTGGCCAACAATCTCCTTTCCCTCTTAGGATGGTTGCAGATGACGAAGATGAGGGGGCGCTCAGTGATTCGGACGGGAACACAGTCCTACACGGAGACGACCTCGCTAAGAAGTAAGTGATGCATGATTGCTATCTCTGATAGGGATGGAAGGGTAGTACAGGGATTCTCAATGTTGCGTTTCGTACCCATGATAAGGTCCCAGAATAATTATGACTCCACCGCAGCTACTCAGGATTAACAGGATCACAGGATTAACCTATGAACTTTAGGATACTTTCTAACACATGAACACAAAAACTATGACTGATCATTTAGGCATCATTGGCACACACACTCGGGGCGGCAGTGGCTCAGTGGTTCATGTAGGTTGTCTACAAACCGAAAGGTTGGTGGTTCAATCCCCGGTTCCACCTGACCAAGTGTCGAGGTGTCCATGAGCAAGACACCTAACCCCAGCTGCTCCCGACGAGCTGGATGGCGCCTTGTATGGCTGACACCGCCGTCGGAGTATGAATGAGTGTGTGAATGGGTGAATGTGAGGCAATATGTAAAGCGCTTTGGTGGCCATTAGGTCTATGAAAGCGCTATATAAATGCAGTCCATTTACCATTTACTTATGTGAATGTCGGACTACAATGTCAAAATGTCTTTGCGATTCACAATCCGCCATTAATATATTCAGAGCGCTCTCTGATGTAGCAGGTTTAAACAACCTCATTAAACTAAATACAGTCTCTGCAAGAAACAGTACTTGTGCTAATTTTGGTTTCCTGCCTTGTTAGTTCAATGTTAGCAATGTGTGCAGGTACAGTGTTTAACCCTGAGCAACCAGAACAGATGTCACGCCACAGCCTACAGGCGAGTCAACTTCACAGCAACTCAAGCAGAGCTGCTAATGCTTTCAAATCAGTGTCTGCCCAGCATGCTGAACTGCTTCAGATTCACTCAGAACAGACACTTTTCCTGTAAGCTCAGGGTTTCCCAAAAAAGCCACCATGTGCTTCTCTGAAATGCAGAGAGAGACGCATGTCAGCAAGAACAGCTCATAATGGCACAGGTATTGATCCACAACCAGCAACTCGTGGCTGAAAAAACTTTGCCGATCAATAGCGGTGTGTTCAGCCTACTATGAGCTTCAGAGTATTCCTTATGACTTTAGAGCCTAGTTGGATCTCTAGTGCAGTCTAGTCAACTAGTTTTCTTTTTCACATTTAATGTTTTACATGATATGTTAAAGGAAAACTCCACCGTTTTTTGAAATATGGCTTATTCACATTCTTTCCTACATTTAGATATGTGTGCAAATTCATTTTTGTCTCAGTGCATGCATTGTTTTAGTTTGACAGGGTCGGCGCTAGCTTAGCTTAGCACAATGAATGGATTCCCTTGTTGCCAGCTAGCATGTCCTGTGTAAAAGTGGTTAAAAAAAATAAACAAACCCACGTAATTACTTCTTGTGGCCTGCGTATTCACAACGAGTACAAATAGCGACGCAGATTAACACTCGGCGATTTCCTAGGCATATGTTGACTTGGGACTATATTAGGGGGAAGCACAGGCGAAGCACTACTGCTAAGGCGAATCACTGCTACTTGGGCGCAGAGACGTCACGCAACACATGAAATCGCACGACTTCCGTAAACATACCGGCTTGAATAGTAGCTACCTGACTATTTTCCTTACAGTACATGACTGGCGATGAACATGGCTGATTTTGTGAGAGACGAAGAGGGTGACTTCTCAGACAGTCAAGAGCCAGAGCCATAACGTTACCTATTTGAACCAGAGTTTTCAGAAGAGGAGCTGCGTGCTTTAGAAATAGACCGAGAGGAGGAGGATGTTGCGATCGCTCAACAGCCTGGGGACGAGAGCCAACACGAACTGGTGGTGTGAATGTGGGGGAATATGCCAACCTATGCCACCTGAAATAGAGTGTCTGTGCTGTGGCGAGTGGGGCCGATGGCCAGGCTCAACGCGTCAGATAAGATGAGCGTGCCCGCAATTGTGTCACAGCTAACGTTACTGAGGATTTCACGGCACTGACCCTGATCCATCCTGCAGTACTCGTTTTTTTTTCCGGTGTGATAAGGTGAACTGGAAAAAAAACGCGCCACGCCGAATGGACCAAATGGATATAGGTAAGTTATAACGATAACAGGTTGTTCATGCTAAACAGGTAGAATTCAACATGACGTTCGTAGTCTAGATAAATCGTCTCAGCATCGATCTTACAACAGAATAAAGACACCGATAAACATAAGGAAGAGAGTAATAAAAGAACTTACTTTGTTCAGCCTGCGCTTTGAAAATAGATGGGACAGCCGTATCTTTCAGACGTAGTAACTTTACCGTCTTTCTGGGCACATATTCCATTTTTTCAAGGGTAACGTTAGTCCTCTGGTGCAAAATGCTGTTCGCAAACAAAACTGTTTTATTTTGTCGAGTGGCGTTGATGTAGGCTACAGATCTCCAGAGCAGCTAGCCATTTATTTCTCAGTTTCTGTGAAACATTACATTCGTGTAGTTCTTTGCTTGTTCTCACAACCTTTTGCTATGCAGGTAATTACCATGTTTGCTGTAACTTCTCAAAATAAATACTCCTAAAGCGAAGACACTTGTTGCAGGTCGCGCCACTATGTTCTTCTTTTTTTACGCGCTGTATAACACCGGTATGTTTACGGAAGTCGTGCGATTTCATGTGTTGCGTGACGTCTCTGCGCCCAAGTAGCAGTGATTCGCCTTAGCAGTAGTGCTTCGCCTGTGCTTCCCCCCAATATAGTCCCAAGTCAATATCTGCCTAGGAAATCGCCGAGTGTTAATCTGCGTCGCTATTTGTACTCGTTGTGAATACGCAGGCCACAAGAAGTAATTACGTGGGTTTGTTTATTTTTTTTAACCACTTTTACTCAGGACATGCTAGCTGGCAACAAGGGAATCCATTCATTGTGCTAAGCTAAGCTAGCGCCGACCCTGTCAAACTAAAACAATGCATGCACTGAGACAAAAATGAATTTGCACACATATCTAAATGTAGGAAAGAATGTGAATAAGCCATATTTCAAAAAACGGTGGAGTTTTCCTTTAAATCACTTCAAAGGCAGTCAGCACAGTAAAACATCTCTGAGAAGTTCTCCAAATCATCAATTGTCTAATAGGGCTACATGATATTGGGAAAAAAATGACATTGCAATATTTAGTTTTTACAATATTTTTTTTACAATAAGATATTACAATATGAAAACGATTTTGCTGGATGCTTTGAAAAGGTGATTTTGTAGGGTAATGAATATGCATAGAAAATACTAAACAGATTACAAGCACTTTCAAAATGGCTGAAAAGCTCAGAATTTCTTAAATATTTGCAAATTTAAGGTTTAAAATTTTAAAATTAAAATTAAGCGTAATTGCATTTTAATGCATTGAGGGCTTGCATTTTTATGAGCTGAAATTCAACATGGTTGTATATTTAAACTCTGAATAACGCAATTCATACCATTTCATCCAAACACATTTTCATTATTAAAATTCAATCATCCATATTCACCTTTCAGATGAATTCGTCTCACTAGATGTCCAGCGACGTGATAAATACTGTGGTGAATTCAAATGCTTTCTCACTAGATCTTCAGCGCTGTGTAGTAACGGTGGCGAGTGCGCTGTGTAGTAACAGAGTGAACCTGTTCTGCGCTGTCTATTATTGGTTAGAGCTATAGACTGTAAAAAAAGATGGATGACGCCCCTTCGCTCTTTTTCGTCAGAGAGAACTGAAGCTGTCAGCATCCCGATATGGCACTGACATCTTGGGACTTAAGTCTGCGCACTTGCGTTTTTTGGGACCAGACATGCACATTCGTGAGCAGGAAGTTAAGCCGCGAAATCAAGGCCCCGCCCTCGCTCTCGCAGAATCAATCGCAAACACGCGCCACACTTTTATTAAGTGGCCTCTGTCTGCTCCGTTCCTCTCCAATGACGTCTGCTGATTGCAATACCTCGTAAATACAACTACTAACCACATAGTCAACATTATGAAAAAAAGAGTCTGATGGTGCTTCATTGACTACTTCGCGCAGAGAACCATGTCAATCATAATGTTAAAGCACCGTTTTTATAGCATCAAATAACTAACTAAAAACAAACTTATTTTAAAAACAAACTCTTGAAATTACATCAACGTCATAGAAATAACAGTAAATGACAGAAACTATCTTTGGAAAAAGCATATGTGAAGTGTAATTTAATTCTTTAGTTGGTCTCACGTCCCGTTGAATAACATGGGGAGGCGGGGTTTATGACCTATACTAGGACCGGCCACTGGGGGGCGATCAAGATGTTTTGGCTTCACTTTTGAGGGCTTGTGCGGCTCGCTTGGTTCGAGCTGATAAACAGTCCGCGAAGCGCAGCTCAAACAAGTACTGCGGTTTTATTTAGTGTTTCTACTTTCATTTTGTTTAATGTTTCTCATATGCTACAGAAATGGCAGCACTAGTGCGAAAAAGTCACGCCAGCAGGAAAAAAGGTCACAAAATATTTTGCCCAATATACCCCTTATGCACCAGAGAAACAACGGCGCCGCCATCTTAGGATATTGTCTTTGAACTTCTGTTTTTGTGGTCGCTCTGTCTATCTCTAAGGCATTGCTGTCCAGGAGTAATTAGCTTTTGAAGTGCATTTACTTAATGTAAAGTTATCATGAGGATTTAAAACGAGCCGTTCATTCATAAATAGCCAAGATTGCTGTGAAAATACAGACTGGGAGACAAAAGACAACGAGCACAGCTCTGGAAAGGGGCGGGGCTACACAAGGTTTATAAACACACCTCAATACCATCATGACGGCAAGTCACGTGACATGCAAATGTATAATGTTTGATTTCGAATTTTTATTTCTATGTGAATATTCCTTTAAGAAAACCCACTGACTAGCCTATATTTTTAGGTTATAAGAGTTCACTGGGCATGAAATCTCACCGCAATGTTTGTAGATGTTCTTCCCCCTAGAGAAACCTTTTCCATTTATTCAAAGACTTTGTATCTCGATCCGTGTCTTTAAAGGCTCTGAGATGGATGTGAGAGAGTGGTTTGTCTGCCACGGGCGTGTAACTGAATCTGTGTCTGATGTTAGGAAGAGGAAGAGCGGCTCACGTCCTCCTAGTAATGCAACTGCCCTTGCCTTAGTCCCACTCGCCATCTCTTTCGTTCTCCGTCAGTATCTCTTGTCATCGGCCACCTCCCACTGTGTCTCATGTGTTTCACTCAGGTACGAGTGTTTTATGCTTCCCGACCCAGCAGTCACCGAGGCCATTGTGCATGTGTGTGACCGATTACTCCTGACAGATGCTTTCCTTAGAAATTCTGTCACACATTAACAGTGAGAATACTGCAAACATCATCAGGCTTTATGAAAAACTACTGCAAGAATCCACACCGAGTTGAACATAAGATTTTAGCAACGTAAAGGCTATCAGAGTAAAATGAATGGACTAACTTTCCTTAAGACAAGTCCACCTGGGTGTGTAATTGATGCTTTTATCAGTCTTGAGCTTCTACAAACAATGCTGGGAAATTAAGTTTTGTTGCTCAAGCCTAGTCTCATAAATTGGCTAAATTTGTATACATTTCAGTAGCTATTTTATTCATTAGCTAAACGGTAGGGCTGGATGATTAATCAAAAAATTATTGAAACCTAAATTCAGAGCCTATAGACCCTTTTACAGTTGGTAGACATGGTGACGTTTTTTGTGGGCGGAGCCCACATGACATCTCAGTGTCCAGGACCGCGATTGTTATTTCCAAAAGTTATTTTTAACAGACGGAACCAGATTGGCGACCCGTAGCCGCCTACACACTCATTCAATGCATGGACGATCTGACAGGATTAACGTTACGTTACCTCGGGTGAGTGGCCTGATTTGTACACCTACCTCATAGAGAAACCGATCGTAAAGAGAAACTGATGGCATATAAATCTTTAGATGCCTATATGGTCCCGTACAAGACTTGTGTGTACGATCCGCAGTTCTGCCAAGCCAGCGCCGAGACCACGACAATGTAAAGAGTGACATTATGGTGTGATGTTTTTTTTATTTTTTTATTATGTGAATATTTTCTAGAAATAAAAGTTCCAGATAAAGCATATTCATTTTTCATCAATTATTGCACCAAACAACACAATAAGATGACATTTAATAATAGTAACAATTATTTAAGCTCATTATTATGTAGCCAAATCTGTGCTGGTTTGTATTGGCCGCCTCCGGTTTTCAATTTGTTTTCCCTCCAGCTAGCGCTGTGACGTAACTGTGACGTCGGCGCAAAAGGAGTTTATAACCGACGTAATTTTACCATGTCGGTTATTTCGGTTTTTGAATCCTATTAATATTTCCGCCCTGTGTGTTAAAGTTCCCCTTAAAACACAATTACCGCGTGTGTAGTCACGTAACTCCGCCCCGTCCAGTCTGCGACATTAAAGCAATATGAGCCCCTTTCACACAGCGCGTTGCCGGAAATTGGCAGAACAAACACCTTCTCTGTGAACGCAAACATGACCCGGGATAGGTGACATAGTAACATTGCCGTGTTCAGTCCCGAAACACTTGCTGTGTGAAGTAAAGCCGTAATCAGTGCTGTGTTGTAATGCTGGCGCTTAAGCCGGGATCATTCGCCAGTGTGAAACGAATCAGAGAAAAAAAAATGCACAACCGTGGTTTCCCGAGAAAGAAATCGCAGGTCATAAGCAAACTATAGACGATGCTCAAAAATGTCACTTGTCTTTGCGGGCTGTGTGTGAACGCACTCTCTGATTCCTCAAATAGTGAATCAACTCTGCAACAGGAGCTGCTTGTACCAAAGAAACAGGCGAAAAAAAGAGAGAGACTGACAAACGCCCAGCAACCCAATGCCTCCACTCCACAAAGCAGCTTTCGATAACACAAGCACCTACAAAAAAGATTAGTTTTTTAGTTTTATACAAGTTATATTTTACTTGTAAGATGACAATATTTACAATAATTTATTTTGTTTATAAAAATAACTATTCTACATTTTTTTTTAATATTTTTTTTAATATTTAATAAGCATTAAAAGCTATCTGTGTGTTTCCTTATTTTAGGATTATGCACTTTTTCATTAGAAAAAATACATACATATTTATTGTATAAGCCTTGCCAGAGACATGAAAAAATAAAAATAATAATCGTTCAATAATCGTAATCGAGGTAACTTGTTCGATTACTCAAAATCGTCCAGCCCTACTGTACGGATAATACATAAAATAATATATAATTAATACAATAATAACAATATAATTGACAAATTTTCAGGTGTGTTTAACATTAGTATTCTGGTAAGAAATACAACAGAATTTAAATAAAACAATCCAATTGTAATCCAATTAAATAAATGAATACTTACATTTAAAGTTAGGAAAGTTATTGTCAAGAGCAGCGAGTGATTTTCTGTTCTGCAGCCGGTTTATGAGGCTGCTGTCACTTTAAGAGCGTATGCACGGCTCCGATATACTGTTACACGTTTTCTCTCAACTGTTTACGTTCTTAAACGTACTGTTTACCTGAATACTCTGCAAGACGGGCATTTTGTGTCACATTACAAAAATGTTTAAGTGCAATAGGCCATGAATAATAATTCACATTCATCACAATTATTTGAGAGGTGCTTTATGTGCTCGTCACTTATAGAGATCAGTGGTGCGAGCGCGAAACATGCAAGAATGAGTACAATTATGCACAACACCATCCCTATTCAACTAATGAAGGAAGGAAGGAAGTGAGTGACAGGAGGTGGGTGTGTGTCAATTCACCATCAGAGAGAAGAGCGCAAGAACACGCAGCCGGCATCAGTCTATCGATACTGCGGAAACCGAGCATTGGAAACGTTTCAGATATTTAAGTATCGATATTTTTGACAACACTAATGTACAGTGTGTATATATAAAGCAAAATAAAAAAGAGCATGTTAACAAACAAACGTCTTGCTGTCTTCTCAGGCTGGAGGCAGCGGTGGAGGGGGCGGAGTCTCGCTTCATGGAGGAGCCAGAAGAGGAGAGCAGTGAGGAAGAGGAGGAGGAGTTGAGTCCGGAGGAGCGAGGTGAGACACGTGACCTCTCTCTCTCTCTCTCTCTCTCTCTCTCTCTCTCTCTCATGGCCTCAGATTCCCCTCTGCTTCCTCACACTGATTACACATTTACACAGCTTACTGCACCGCCAGCCAGGGGCTCCAACACACTTCTCCACAACTCGCTCTTTTCAGGTCTTTTTTTTTAAACTCACAATCTTAGTGTTACACTAGGATAAATACATAAAACAGATACATACATCAAAGCCAGTGAAATTCCACAATTCTTATCTATTATTTTAAGCAATAAATATTGAAATATTAACAGATTTCAATAAAACAATGACATGTATTCGTCGGGAAAGTGAACTTTTTGAAAATTTTAGAGAACAAAAAGCCACAACAGAGAAAGCGCTTTCATACATCATACCATACCAAAAAAAAAAAAAAAAAAAACAGTCTTGAAAATAAATAAATATAAAAAATAAACAAACTCAGATTATTGTATGCAATGCAGTCTAAAAAAGTTAATCTTCAAACATAGGAGATATAATGCATGCTCTTGTGAGGCTGTAATCAGTTATAACCATAGGCTGGCTGTGATAATTCATCCATAATGTGTATTAAAGACACAAAAGAAAAGCCTAGGTTAAAAAATAAGATAAAAAACAGCATGTGCCGTATTCAGTTTGACGTACAGATGTGGCCTCCGTCCACTGGCACTTTATGAAGAACAATAAAATGTTACATTTATTATTTAACATTTTATTCTTAATTCTCATATTACATTAATTAATTTTTTTTGCATATTGCTGTTTTTGCATAAATATCTAGATGCTAGATGCTAATGAAATGGTTTTTTTTACATATTTTAAAAAAAAATATGACTTAAATATTTACTTGTGTGCTTAATTTTAATGAAAAAAACAAATGATTAAAAAGTTATAATTTTAAGGTTGCGCTTAAAGACGAGAACAAAATCGTATGTTCTGTTCTTTGTTTATTAATAAGAAAAAAAGTTTGACAACATGTCTTCCGTCAGTCGGCAGATTTCCGCGTTTACAGCTGTGTGTGTTTGTCTTTCCTCAGCCAGAAAGAAGCAGTTTCAGATGTTGAGGAAGATACACTATAATGAAGGTATGAACATTAAACTAGCCCGACAACTAATCGCCAATGAGCTGGAAGAGGAGGAAGATGAGGACGAAGAGATGAAGGACGACACAGAGACCGAGGACATCAGCGTTGACCCCCCGCAAGATGGTAAACAAGGAGATGTTAACACACATTGTTGATGGGATATTTCATACTCCTGATCTGCTTCTGCTGAAACATTAGTACAGTTCAGCCATATCTGGACACTTGAAAAGCTAAAAGTAACCCAAAATGTTCACATGCCCATCATCTATTGTTGTGTGAGCAGATATTCAGTGTGTTTGAGTCTTCAGCCACTGCTGACCACTAGAGGTCCCTGGTAGGGATGCAGCGATTAAGGGATTTTACAATTAACCGCGCTTTAAAACGTCACGGTTAATTCATCGTAAAGACTATGCTACACCGAGTGTTTCGGCACGGAACGGAAATTTAGTAAATAAAACAAAACGGAAACAAAGTTACACCAGCGGTGCACCAGCTTAAAGGGATACTCCACTTTTTTTGGAAAAAGGCTCATTTTACCACTCTCCCAGAGTTAAACAGTTGAGTTTTACCGTTTTTGAATGCATTCAGATGATTTTCTGATATTTAGAATATCAGTAACCAGACAGTTTCTGGTCTCATTGACTTCCATAGTAGGAAAAAAATATACTATGGAAGTCAATGAGACCCGAAACTGTTACTGATATTCTTCTAAATATCAGAAAATTGGCTGATTGGATTGGAAAACGGTAAAACTCAACTGTTTAACTCTGGGGTAGTGGTAAAATGAGCCTATTTCCAAAAAAAGTGGAATATCCCTATAAAGTGCTCATCAGTCACTATGGCAGAGGGACTAAGCAGCGATGCTCTATTTCCACCGAAAAAACGCCTTAAGTAAAAAAGAATAAAAACTAGACGAGAATGTTCGATATAGCGACGATCTGGGAAGCGATCCAGATAGAACTGATGTCCTGCGTGTGTGTTACTGTTAGATGCGCACATTTGCTGTAACGTGTTGATCTACCCCGCGGTCCCATAAAACGTAAAAAAAATAAAAATTGTAAACGTCTGGGAGAAAGAGTAGAACAGACATAGGCTATAGATCTGAATATAATATACAGACAGCAGCCATCTTGGGAAAACAGTCACGACAAGTCGAACCACAAACAACGTGCCAAGTGAGCTGAACTGTATGAAGTTCAGCGAACTTTCGAACTATATGAATGGCGTTCGGGGATCGACTTATTGAGTCTGTTTTCCAAAGATGGCTCCTGTCTGTATACACGAAGTGAACTGTCTTTATAAAGTCTTATTAAACGGTCTGTACACATACCAAGTTCTCAATGCTTCGTTTTGCATGTCTGGAGCCTCATTATGTTACAGTTGTAGTGTTGGGCTATTTTGAGCCTTGTTAGTGGTATAAACTAGCGGTTTCTTTTTACTTTTTAAATGCCCCCATTACTAGCATTATACGCTAAACCGTTTTTAGAGATAAAACTCTTTACATTCGATTATCATGAAAACAAATCTCATAGAGCAGTTGACTAGGTACCGATGTTTTATTAGACCAAAGGTTCATTTTGCGCCGGAGTTCTCCTTTAAATTCTTTTAAGTTTTGCGATGCGGGCGGGAGTGGAAATACATATTGCGGGAGTGTAACGCATACATTGCGGGTGGTAGATACGTTAAGCGGTAATGGTCAGAAATTCGGCGAGCGCGGGCAGGAGCTGGATGAAGAAAACAGTAGAGCTCTACCCAAGGCGACATCTAGTGTTTATATTTATGGCGTCGACCAAATCGCAATGCAGCGGTGAACACGCCGCGGTCAAAGTTCAATATAGTTATACTTTTGCCGCTGCGATCTGTGACGATTACCAGTGCAGCCAATAGAAAACAGGGCTTTGATTTGATATTAATACACCCATAACCCTTAATTTTAACCCTATTTAACCCTGTAAAAGCTTGACATAAAATATGTTTTTTTTTTTTTCTCCCCCAACGGTTTATTGAATCAAATATTTAAAAAAAACAAACAAACATGTTTTATGGTTGATTACTGGTTATCCATCATATTTGATAATAGATAATACATACATACATCTTCCGCTCATCCGGGGCCGGGTCGCGGGGGCAGCAGTCTAAGCAGAGATGCCCAGACTTCCCTCTCCCTAGACACTTCCTCCAGCTCTTCTGGGGGGATACCGAGGCGTTCCCAGGCCAGCCGGGAGACATAGTCTCTCCAGCGTGTCCTAGGTCTTCCCCGGGGCCTCCGCCCAGTGGGACGTGCCCGGAACACCTCCCCAGGAAGGCGTCCAGGAGGCATCCGGAACAGATGCCCGAGCCACCTCAGCTGACCCCTCTCGATGTGGAGGAGCAGCGGCTCTAGTCTGAGCTCCTCCCGAGTGACCGAGCTTCTCACCCTATCTCTAAGGGATCGCCCAGCCACCCTGCGGAGAAAGCTCATTTCAGCCGCCTGTATCCGGGATCTTGTCCTTTCGGTCATGACCCAAAGCTCATGACCATAGGTGAGAGTAGGAACGTAGATTGACTGGTAAATCGAGAGCTTTGCCTTACGGCTCAGCTCCTTCTTTACCACAACAGACCGGTACATCGACCGCATTACTGCTGAAGCTGCACCGATCCGTCTGTCAATCTCCCGTTCCATCCTTCCCTCACTCGTGAACAAAACCCCAAGATACTTAAACTCCTTCACTTCAGGAAGGGTCTCTCCACCAACCTAAAGTGGGCAACCCACCCTTTTCCGGCTGAGGACCATGGCCTCGGATTTGGAGGTGCTTATTTTCATCCCAGCCGCTTCACACTCGGCTGCAAACCGTCCCAGTGCATGCTGAAGGTCCTGGTGTGAAGGGGCCAACACGACAACATCATCCGCGAAGAGCAGAGACGAAATCGTGTGGTCCCCAAACCTGACGCCCTCCGGCCCCTGGCTGCGCCTAGAAATTCTGTCCATAAAAATTATGAACAGAACCGGCGACAAAGGGCAGCCCTGCCGGAGTCCAACATGCACCGGGAAGAAGTCTGACTTACTACCGGCAATGCGAACCAAGCTCCTGCTTCGGTCATACAGGGATCGGACAGCCCTTAGCAAAGGACCCCATATTCCCGGAGCACCCTCCACAGGCCGCCTCGGGGGACACAGTCGAATGCCTTCTCCAAATCCACAAAACACATGTGGACTGGTTGGGCAAACTCCCATGAACCCTCCAGCACCCTGTAGAGAGTATAGAGCTGGTCCAGTGTTCCACGGCCAGGACGAAAACCGCACTGTTCCTCCTGAATCCGAGGTTCCACTATCGGCCGTATTCTCCTCTCCAGTACCCTGGCATAGACTTTCCCAGGGAGGCTGAGAAGTGTGATCCCCCTATAGTTGGAACACACCCTCCGGTCCCCCTTCTTAAAAAGAGGAACCACCACCCCGGTCTGCCATCCCAGAGGCACTGTCCCCGACCGCCACGCGATGCTGCAGAGGCGTGTCAACCAAGACAGCCCCACAGCATCCAGAGACTTGAGGTATTCGGGGCGGATCTCATCCACCCCCGGTGCCTTGCCACCGAGGAGTTTCTTGACTACCTCGGTGACCTCAGCTAGGGTGATGGACGAGTCCACCTCTGAGCCCTCAGCCTCTGCTTCCTCAATGGAAGACGTGACGGCGGGATTGAGGAGGTCCTCGAAGTATTCCTTCCACCGTCCGACGACATCCCCAGTCGAGGTCAACAGCCGCCCACTCCTACTGTAAACAGCATTGGTAGGGGGCTGTTTCCCCCTCCTAAGTTAATAGATAATAGATCAATAAATTGTTTTATTAATTTTTTGATTCTGTTTGGTGGGAGTCAAATTGCCAACATGGAATTTACAAATGTTTCTAAATAGTTTTGACATTGTGAAATGAACTAAAACGTCTGGTTTGTTACAGCTGATTCCTTGGATTCATAAGGATGTGAAGATGTGTCCTGTGACTCCTGCCTTGTGTCATGGACCTCTGGAAGGTGCGGTGTCATCACCGGTTTGGATTCAGCTCCAGGACCCCCCTCACCCTGTGTATTACACCAACACCACAATGCCACACATATCAACCAGCTCCCTCATTTGCCAAACGTCTATCGCCGTCATGCTATGAATCGAGACTGTTATCAAACCGCCCCAGGCCTGGACTTCTCCCTCGTCCTGTGGCCGAGAGCTGGGATCTCCAAGCCCAAGTGAGCTTGACCCCAGCAAACCATACTGATTCTCTTCTTTCCCAGCACCACTGTTACTGATAAGTGAGTTTAATGCCATGTGAACAAGCTGGTGGTTTAGCATGCACTGGTAAAGGGGGACTGATGTGGTCTTGGGCTTTGACACACACACACACACACACACACACACACACACACACACACACACACACACAGAGCCCGTATTAAACCGCTCACATGAGCTCTACTGTATGCATGGCTTCTGAAAACCATGTTTAATTACATTGGCACTAATTGTATTTGCCCTGTGTTTGAATTAACAGGTGAGTATTACATACCTAGCTGTAAAACTACTGATCTGTAGACTGACCCTATGGCCGTCTCTGTTGCTTTTACAAAACTACAACAGCTTTAATAGATGCTGAAGGGATCTGGAGGTTTTTGTCTTGGCGTCCTTATTGAGCTTTGTTTGTTTTGATTGCCTTTTTTTTAAAACTCTATTATAATGGGGTTATTTCTTTTTATGATCTCTGAACAAAATAACTATAGTGCAGTATCAAATAAATAAATAAATTTGACCCAAGCAAATTGATCTTTAAAATGGCTGGTATTCTGGTGTATTTTGTCAATTTATAGTCAAACTCACACATATGCGTGTTGTGTGTATATAGATATATATATATATAAAAAGAAGCTACAATGGGTGAATGTCGGAAAACCTTGCAATAACTTGTCATATTTGGCGCCAAAGTCAAAAGGAAAAAATTAATTATATTTTGTATAAAACATTTAAGTACCATATTACAGTAATGAGTCAGAATATTCTGTGCATTGCAGTGAGTTATCGTTACTGTAATGCATAAAAGATTCTGATGCATCATATATGTGTTATTTACACAAACAAAACATTATTCAGACTCATTACTTTAATGCAAAAAGGTAATTCAGAATCATTACCGTAATGCTAAAAAATTGGTACTCATTACCGTAATGCTAAAATATCGACTCAATCGCAATATGCAGAAAACTATATTGCTATTGACTCCGATTTTTTTTTGTCGCATAAAACATCCAGATGCATTACAGTAATGATTATGAAATATTTTTTTAATGAAAAAACATTTCCATTTTAATGAAAAAACAAACAAACAGTTAAAGTATAATATTAAGGTTTTTTCTTTCTTTCTTTTTTTTTTGTTCTTTTGATTTGGTGAAGCTGTATATGTTCTTGACGGGTTTTATGAAATCCACCCAGATATCGACGCGGCATTGCTTTTTGGAAACAGTGCTTCAATGCAACCGTATCTGCCTGAATGCATTTTAAAGCATTTTCTGGCTAATGTATTTATTCTCAACCTAAAACCAGCACAATCATTCGTTTGAGATCTGTTTTCTTTTTTTTATGTTTATTTCCATCGTTGTGGATGTTAAATCATTTTCACATGCCCCTCCCTTAACTGAATGATGTCAAAAAAGTTCAATTCTTGCAATATCTCAAATGCAGTGTTGACACATTGAACAATTTATTAATTGGTTGTCTATTTTTAATAAGAAATATGAAACGCCTGGTTTTGTCCTTCATTGTCTCATCAGTTATTGACATGGATTACACTCATTTTAAGTCAAATATAGTTTAATACTAAATTTGTTCATTCTCAAGCACAAGTGATTTTGATTGTTGAACTTTCTCCGTATGTATTTTGTAAAATGGCCATTTATGTGTTAATTTTATTCCTCAAGATTCATTTTTCTGTTTTTTTTTTTTTTTCTTAAATAGATGTGCATGTTCTTCAAATGAAAATGTGCATATTTGTCATCATTAAAATGTTGGTACAAATGCGTTTTCTTTTATTGTTTTTATTTAATATAAATGCCATTACAAAAAAGTATGGTAACCCTCTTATATTTCGACGATTACTCTAGTAAACTGCCAATACTGTCTTAAAAGTGAAAACAAGAAAGCATCTTGTTATTAAAAACCCATTCACACCAACAACGATAATTGTAACGATACATAAATTAGTGTCCAAACCAAAGTCTTAATGTAGTCTATATAATCCTCACGTATAATGCACAATAATGTCCTAAATGCTCACGCTTCTGATTGGCTGTCAATGTTTTATCCTTTTATCGTGCAGTGTAACTATCCTCACTGAATTACTACGATTATTGCTAGAAATCGTCCTTTGTATAAATTACCTTTAGGCATAGTTCACCCAAAAATGAAAACTCTGTAATTTACTCTCTCTCAAACCTGTAAGAGTTTCTTTCTTCTGCTGGACACAAAAGAAGATAATATGTTGATGAATGTCAGTAATCAAACAGTTGACGGTAGCTATTGGCACTTCCACAACGAAAAGAAAATGGAGGTGTCAATAGCTCAACTGTTTGATTGCCAACTTTCATTAAAATATATCTTGTGTTCAGCAGAAGAAAAGAAACTCGTACAGGGTTGGAACAACTTAAGGGTGAGTAAATGACGATAATTTTTTGGTGAAGTATCTCTTTAAATGCAGTGCGTGTGCTTACAATAACCAGCGCGTTATCTTCTGTTTGTAGTGTACGCACGTTGAACATATTAAACATTATATACGTAGAACATATTGATTTTACAGTAGTAACAATAATTAAAGTAACACTTTCGGCAGAAAATATAGTTACTACCATTGTGATTTTTGAAAGGGTAATATTATATATGTGTGTGTGTGTGTGTGTGTGTGTGTGTGTGTGTGTGTGTGTGTGTGTGAGAGAGAAATACTTTATGCCTGTATTTCACTAGGAATAGCTCAGCGTCAAACTTTGCGCGTTAAGTTCATATTCTGAGTCCACTTGCCTGTTCCTATAGATAGTTACATCTCCAATAAGGTGCTAGTTTGGTCTTCTTTATTATTAAGTGTCCTGACCGCAGGAGAAAGAATGAATTATTGAGGGAAACACTGCAGCGCTGCGATATATAGCCTACATAAAAAATAAACAATTGAGAGAAATATATAGCCTATGTCTTGGCCTACCTCAGATTTAACCTGTGCCCGACAGCCTGGGCCCGACAGATCCACAAAGGGAGCGCAGATCCACACAGGGAGCGCCTGTGCCCGACAGATCCACACAAGGAGCGCCTGTGCCCGCCAGATCCACACAAGGAGCGCCTGTGCCCGTCAGATCCACACAAGGAGCACCTGTGCGTGCCAGATCCACACAAGGAGCGCCTGTGCCCGCCAGATCCACACAGGGAGTGCCTGTGCCAAACAGATCCTTACAGGGAGTGCCTGTGCCTGCCATATCCAGACAGGGAGCGCCTGTGCCTGCCATATCCAGACAGGGAGCGTCTCTGCCTGCCAGATCCACACAGGGAGCGCCTGTGCCTGGCAGATCCACACAAGGAGCGCCTGTGCCCACCAGATCCAGACAGGGAGCGCCTGTGCCTGCCAGATCCACACAGGGAGCACATTTGCCCACCAGATCCAGACAGGGAGTGCCTGCCAGATCCACACAAGGAGCACCTGTGCCCACCAGATCCAGACAGGGAGCACCTGTGCCCGCCAGATCCAGACAGGGAGCGTCTGTGGCCGCCAGATCCACACAAGGAGCACCTGTGCCCACCAGATCCAGACAGGGAGCACCTGTGCCCGCCAGATCCAGACAGGGAGCGTCTGTGCCTGCCAGATCCACACAAGGAGCGCCTCTGCCCGCCACATCCAGACAGGGAGCACCTGTGCCCGACAGATCCTCACAGGGAGCACCTGTGCCCGCCAGATCCAGACAGGGAGTGCCTGTGCCTGCCAGATCCACACAAGGAGCACCTGTGCCCGCCAGATCCTGACAGGGAGCACCTGTGCCCGCCAGATCCTCACAGGGAGCGCCTGTGCCTCACAGATCCTCACAGGGAGCGCCTGTGCCCGATAGATCCACACAGGGAGAGCCTGTGCCCGACAGATCCTCATAGGGAGCATCAGTGCCCGACAGATCCTCACAGAGAGTGCCTGTGCCTGCCAGATCCACACAAGGAGCACCTGTGCCCACCAGATCCAGACAGGGAGCGCCTGTGCCTGCCAGATCCACACAAGGAGCACCTGTGCCCGCCAGATCCAGACAGGGAGCGCCTGTGCCCGCCAGATCCAGACAGGGAGTGTCTGTGCCTGCCAGATCCACACAAGGAGCACCTGTGCCCGACAGATCCAGACAGGGAGCGCCTGTGCCCGCCAGATCCAGACAGGGAGCACCTGTGCCCGACAGATCTTCACAGGGAGCGCCTGTGCCCGACAGATCCACACAGGGAGCGCCTGTGCCCGACAGATCCACACAAGGAGCGCCTGTGCCCGCCAGATCCAGACAGGGAGCGCCTGTGCCTGCCAGATCCACACTAGGAGCACCTGTGCCCGCCAGATCCAGACAGGGAGCGCCTGTGTCCGCCAGATCCAGACAGGGAGCACCTGTGCCCGACAGATCCTCACAGGGAGCGCCTGTGCCCGCCAGATCCAGACAGGGAGCGCCTGTGCCTGACAGATCCACACAGGGAGCGCCTGTGCCCGCCAGATCCACACAGGGAGCGCCTGTGCCTGCCAGATCCAGACAGGGACCACCTGTGTCCGCCAGATCCAGACAGGGAGCACCTGTGCCCGACAGATCCTCACAGGGAGCGCCTGTGCCCGCCAGATCCAGACAGGGAGCGCCTGTGCCTGACAGATCCACACAAGGAGCACCTGTGCCTGACAGATCCAGACAGGGAGCGCCTGTGCCCGCCAGATCCAGACAGGGAGCACCTGTGCCCCGACAGATCCAGACAGGGAGCGTCTGTGCCTGCCAGATCCACACAAGGAGCACCTGTGCCCGCCAGATCCAGACAGGGAGCGCCTGTGCCCGCCAGATCCTCACAGGGAGCACCTGTGCCCGACAAATCCTCACAGGGAGCGCCTCTACCTGACAGATCCACACAGGGGAGTGCCTGTGCCCGCCAGATCCAGACAGGGAGCGCCTGTACCCGCCAGATCCACACAGGGAGCGCCTGTGTCCGCCAGATCCACACAGGGAGCGCCTGTGTCCGCCAGATCCAGACAGGGAGCGCCTGTGCTCGACAGATCCACACAGGGAGCGCCTGTGCCCGCCAGATCCAGACAGGGAGCGCCTGTGCCCGCCAGATCCTCACAGGGAGCACCTGTGCCCGACAGATCCTCACAGGGAGCACCTGTGCCTGACAGATCCACACAGGGAGCGCCTGTGCCCGCCAGATCCAGACAGGGAGCGCCTGTGCCCGCCAGATCCAGACAGGGAGCACCTGTGTCCGACAGATCCAGACAGGGAGCACCTGTGCCCGACAGATCTCACAGGGAGCGCCTGTGCCCGCCAGATCCAGACAGGGAGCGCCTGTGCCGCCAGATCCAGACAGGGAGCGCCTGTGCCCGCCAGATCCACACAGGGAGCGCCTGTGTCCGACAGCCAGATCCAGGGGAGCGCCTGTGCCTGACAGATCCACACAGGGAGCGCCTGTGCCCGCCAGATCCACACAGGGAGCGCCTGTGTCCGACAGATCCAGACAGGGAGCGCCTGTGCCTGCCAGATCCACACAGAGAGCGCCTGTGCCCGCCAGATCCAAACAGGGAGCACCTGTGCCTGCCAGATCCACACAGGGAGCGCCTGTGCCCGCCAGATCCACACAGGGAGAGCCTGTGCCCGCCAGATCCACACAGGGAGCGCCTGTGTCCGACAGATCCAGACAGGGAGCGCCTGTGCCCGCCAGATCCACACAGGGAGCGCCTGTGTCCGACAGATCCAGACAGGGAGCGCCTGTGCCCGACAGATCCAGACAGGGAGCGCCTGTGCTCGACAGATCCTCACAGGGAGCGCCTGTGCCCGACAGATCCAGACAGGGAGCGCCTGTGCCCGACAGATCCTCACAGGGAGCGCCTGTGCCCGCCAGATCCACACAGGGAGCGCATGTGCCCGACAGATCCAGACAGGGAGCGCCTGTGCCTGACAGATCCTCACAGAGAGCGCCTGTGTCCGACAGATCCACACAGGGAGCGCCTGTGCCTGACAGATCCTCACAGAGAGCGCCTGTGCCCGACAGATCCAGACAGGGAGCGCCTGTGCCCGCCAGATCCACACAGGGAGCGCCTGTGCCCGCCAGATCCACACAGGGAGCGCCTGTGCCCGACAGATCCAGACAGGGAGCGCCTGTGCCTGACAGATCCTCACAGAGAGCGCCTGTGCCCGACAGATCCAGACAGGGAGCGCCTGTGCCCGACAGATCCTCACAGGGAGCGCCTGTGCCCGCCAGATCCACACAGGGAGCGCCTGTGCCCGACAGATCCAGACAGGGAGCGCCTGTGCCTGACAGATCCTCACAGAGAGCGCCTGTGTCCGACAGATCCAGACAGGGAGCGCCTGTGCCCGACAGATCCTCACAGAGAGCGCCTGTGCCCTCCAGATCCTCACAGGAAGCACCTGTCCCCTGAGGGTCCCAACAAAGAGGAAAACTCAGGATCCCTCAACATTTAACAAGACATCTTATAAAGGCCTCTTTAGAAACACCCATGCCCATCCAGTCTCCACAGAGGGAACCAGTGTCTGCCTCAAAGGTGTTCACACACTCCTCACATGGAGCACCCATGCAGGACAAGATAGCGCCTCTGTCTTGTGCTCAGGCAGCACTTGTCATTAAAAAGGTCTCCGAGAGGAGAGATGCTGAAATCCCTGAGCTGCGGAGGCAAAGTTCGCATAATGCACCGGAACTCGAGTCTTCTGCAAAACTGAGGATCCCGAAGCAGAGGGAGAAGTTGAGGGATTGGTGGGAGCATCAGCAGAGGCAGAAGAACATCCGAAAGGGAGTGTCTGTAAGTCCCTTATATTTATTGTTTGTACTTCTTTTAAAATGTATTCAAACAAGTAAAATTGCCCCTTTAACTTTGCTACTATGTTTTCTTGGCCCTCAATTTAAAATACTTTTATATTTCAAAATTATTTTTTTTAAAGATACGCCTTTAGATTTAGTCTAAGAAGCACCCATTAAACCTGCGCAGCCCGAGCCCAGGTCCCAGCCGACCCGTAAAAGAGCATTGATTAGACCCTCCCATCTCTCATTTTTAGTAAGATTTAGAAACTAAATACTTTATTCATTTAATGAATGCATGCACATCATTTCTTTCTCAATTCAGACCCCTCATATCAAAATGGTTGAAGTAACTTTTCTTTAGATTTTCTGTAAGAATCCCTCATTAAATCTGGTCAGCGTTACATGATTATGTCTGTTCCTTCAACAGGACAGTGCCGGAGTGGACAGGTCAGCCTCACAAAACAAGCAGCGGATGGCGATTCAAGTCAACGACCGACAGTCGGATCCAGGCGGCGCAGACCAAATGGATTATTTATGTTGCTTATTTGCAAAATGTTTTGTCATTTAAAATATTAATTTTTTATATTGTTAAACGTGTGAGTCTTATAATAAAAAAAATATATAAACATACTGTGTATTTATTTATTTGTCAATGACAACACACATTAATTAGCTTAAAATAAACAGATCATTTTCATCTGCTGTCACTGGGCTGATTAAATTCACACACTAAGCCAGGGACGGACTGGGACTAAAAAACGGCCCAACAATAACGCCTGTCGCCTGGCATGAGCGTCACATGACTTTAATTGTGGCTCATGATACTATACCATCCAAATGATAGCTAACAGCATATTCTACAATCTATTCCATGCTGTCTTAAAATTAATGTATTACTTAATAATCTTAATTAATTTATGCAGTAATTAAGCTATACTGTACAAATAATAATACCACATCTAATGAAAATAAGCTACACCATTACAAATGTAAGTTCTGTATTCAAAATCTTCAAAGTTTGTAAGCATTAACTGTAACGTTAAACATTTTTAAAAGTAAAAGCTCAACATATTTCTTAATATTAGCGACTTCATGTGGCATTTTACAGCTAAAATGTTGAAGTTTAGCTATACTGTAATCATTAAAAATGTAGCAAACTGAATATCACTTCCTAACATCACCCATAGCAAGTAACTTGCAAAGTCATTTCTGATTGATTCTGTTCGGGAGTAGTGGAGATAAAAGCCCGCCCGCACTGAGAATTAATTGGTTGGGTCCTTACAAGATAGCAGATCTGGGCCAAACACGTCGTAAATTCTCTGTCTTTTGGCACAACGGGCCAATATCGGCACGGCTTCGTTTTCTCCTCATCTGGACCAAAACTGGGCCATCTCCGGATTCCTTCATGGTGATTTGGCCCAAATGCTCTGTTTTGGATCTGGTCCAGAATCATGCCGGATCAGGGCCAGCTCATTTTGTAGACCGTACACACACACACTCGCTCTCTCTCTAAGAAGTACACATATCTAGAATTTCAAGAATCTTCTCACATGATCTAATATCTTATAGTCTTATGCCACTGATATTTTCTGCTGTTAGGTTTTAACATGAAAATGCTTAGGCAATAAAAAGTTGAAAGTACTGCTTTCAAAAAAAGAAAGAAATTGCACAGTAAGTTTGACATATTCAAGAGATTTCTTTTGATCCATTTTCAATATTTGAATAAACAAAGTGCAGAAACAGTGTAGTAACATAAACCTTAAAAAAAAAAAAGCATCCCAAAAATGGAACTACAAACCCCTTCATTCCCGTGAGGCATCTGTGAACAAAAGACAAAGGAAAAAAAAGTTCGTTTTGTTGAGATCTATTAAAGCACCGTTCAGAGACAGACTATTGATTGACTAAATTGACCAATATAGGTTGAGTTGTATTTTCTGTATTTGGGCTAATAATATAATCTATATTTTAAGTTTTCTCAGAGTTTCCACTTGTGCATGACTCGGCTCAAACTGTATGTATGTCAGAAATTGACCATTAGATGGCAGTATTTCACAATAAAAATAAATAAAAGCAACGAATGCAACTTGTTCAATACAGTAAAATACCTGGAAAGAATGGAAAGTTTTAAAACAATAGGCTATAAAAACAAATACAAATAAAGCATTTGCGAGATCGATGCATATCAACTATTTTAAAGATCTTTGTCTTTTCACTTAAAAGTGGGTGTGAACCTTTTCCTCAAACGTGGAACCTGGAGAGCTTTTATAAGTTTCCCGAATCCAAAGTCAGTGTCTATGGTCTTTACTTAGCGAATACATCACCATATTATATATGCCTATCATATGATATCGAGAATAATCTGAAGCATAATCTTTGATGCAGCAAGGAAATTGTGTTTTATGTGGTGGAGTGTGTCAGAGAGGATTTGGAAAAAGGGGGAGTAAGGATTGGATTCGTTGGCCTGTTTCTGGCTGTGTCTCAAATGGGCAAATGTTACTTACTTGCGTTTTTTGAGACTCAGCGTTGTCTTCCTCTAGATGGCGCTCTTCGGCTCAAACAACCCAATCTGCCTTGGAGCCGCATTCACATATCAAGACTGTTTTGGTCTCACTGATCATATGTGTGCACTAAAAAGCATAATTATGTAAGTATACAACATTAAACGCTTGACACTTGACATAAAGATAGTTGGAAATCCGTCCACAATCGTTGAAGAAAAATGGTATCCACTCATTTCAAACGACTGTGATTGGTCTATCCCGACCAGCGCTGAGAAAAGTAACAGCTAGCAAGTGACGCTGAATTTTATGACAAAAATGATACTGAGAAAATCGAATTTGTCCTGAAATACACATTATTATATAATACATTATTATTTGTTATAATTAAATATGCTGTGAACGTTTTCCGCCCTCTCCACAACGCCCCGCCCTACCAAGCAACCCAATCCAATCCATTGTCAGAGCTCACAATGATTGACAGGCAACGCGTTTTCTGATTGGCTAAAACTAAGCCCCGCCCTTTTCTACTAAATTATTCCGTTTCTTTTCTCCAGGACGAAACTCATGGGCAAATATGCCGTCTAGTTAGGCAGCACACTTGGTTTTTAGGACACTACCTTTCTTTGCTCTTCATTAACACCCATCAGCTCAGTCCACTCGCTAATTCTGGAGGAACTACACCTTTTAAAAATAATTTCTAGCGCTTCACGTCCAACTGACACGAGCATATCGGACTTCGTCTCTCATATGTGGAGTACATTTGGGATTCTTGAGTGATTTGAGCAGAAGTTTGAGCTGTTATTGGTTTTACAGGAGCTAATGTTAGCCTGCTAGCTCTTAATCTGTTTATTAACCTCATCAAATCAACATGAAGATCACTGTGGATTTTGAGGAATGTCTCAAGGACTCACCTAGATTCAGGTGAGAAAGACCTTTCAATTTACTCTCATTTATTAGTATTCATGATTTGCTTTACGTGTGTGTGTTTTTTTTAATTTATTTTTTTTTACTTGAAAGTATTTGTGACTTGGTTTAAACTATAAAATACTGCATAAACATACACTTAAAGAGTAACGTTAAACGTATTGATTTAGACTGCTGATATTATATGCTGTCATGGCTGATTTGATCATGTCTTCTTGTGTCTCAGATTTGGTCTTGAGTTGACAATATTCATGAAGTGGACAGACAACTTAAACATTAAAACATTCGCATATTAACAGAATGAAATAAAATTCACGACTTATCACCTTTGGCTCTTTGAGCAAGACATTTAAAGAGACAGTTCAACCAAAATAAAAAAAATGCATGTGATGAATAAAAATTATAATACGAATAAAAAAATACTATAATTTATTTGCTTTCAAATTCCTCAAAACCTGTTTTTTTTTTCTTTTGTGGGAAACAAAAAAATGTTTAGCAGAATGTTTAGCAGAATCTAATACAAACGGATGGGGACTGGAGCTGTCAAAGTTTAAAAACGACAAGAAGCACATAAGAAACAGTCCATTTAACTTGTGTACTATCACAAAAGTATGATTCAGTGTTTCAGAGGTCTTGAAATATGGTACACAAGTTATGTCGGCAAATTTTGATACTTTTATTGTGCTTTTTTGTTGTTTTTCTGAACTTGACGGTCTTGAGAGTAGGGCTGTTGAACTATTAATCGCGATTAATCGCATTAATCGCATCCAAAATAAAACTTTGTGTTTGCATAATATATGTGGATGCACTGTGTATAATTATTTTAGATATTTAAATACACACACATGCTTGTATATATTTAAGAAATGTTTTCAGGTAAATACTTTGTATAGATTGATATATTATATATAATATTTTATATATAAATAATATTTTTCTTCCTAAATATACATGCATGTGTGTGTATTTATATATACAAAATAATTATACAAAGTGCACCCACATATATTATGTAAACACAAACTTCTATTTTGGATGCGATTAATCGTTTGACAGCCCTACTTGAGAGTCAATTCACTGTCATTGTATGGAAAAGAGCATTTTATAATATATAATTTTAGCCTCTATTCCATCCAGAAACACTAAACCTGTCTCAACAGAACTCGGTTAAATGACCAAGCTAACTACTAAACCATAAGTCAAGTCCTGATCTAGTGAGTCTCTCTGTAAGGATTATATCTTCTTTCTGCCTCTTCTTCTCCCCCTCCTCTCTCATAACAACATCCTCTCAGAAATAAGGAGCAGATGTTCATGAGGAAAAACATGGAAAATGTTGGACATTTTAATTTCAGCATTTTTGCCAGAGTTTAAGCTTGAGTGGTTTGAAACCACTAGTCGGTTGCTGTGAACGATCCTTATTCTTACACAAAGTGACAAAGAAGTTCATCAACCACCGATGTTTACATGTTCTGAAGAAACTGTGCTTGCCAATGTAAAACCTGCTCTTTTTCTGCTGAAATGGTTTCTCTGTAAAGACTGTGATCATACAGGAGAAAATCCCCAAAGTTATGAATTATTATAACACTGATTGGATCATTTTTTATGGTGTAAAAGTGATAATTTATCTATATCTTCACCTATCCATGATCTGAAGGCTATCTTGAAGGGACAGGAGATATTGTTTCTCACAGTACAGTTGCAAAGGTTTCCTCCACGGGCAGATTTCCCACTCATTTTTCCCTTTCTCGGTTTATCTTGGCTTATATCTAGGCTCTAATGCCTGTTTTCACTATGTGTTGAGTGCTGGCTTTTTTCATTTTTATATGGATCTTGATATAGGCGAGGTGTTGTTTTGTTTTTAGCAAATGTATTTCACTTCAGCATTTCAACTTCTCTCTTTATCTTAGACCGAATAAGCCGTTTGTGTAGCGCTGCAATAAACCACTGAACTTACGAAGCAAACAAAATAACTTAAATTGTAAGCTAGATGTCTCTTTGATTGTTTCAAGAACAGATTTAAAGACACATGGATTTGCTCAGATGTTTGTTTTAGGGATCCCAAGGCAATGTAACTGTAGTTAGCCAGGTTTGTAAAGGCAACAGATGTGTGCTGGTTTTGATAGATTTTTTTTTTCAGATTTGCAATTTTAAGTGGTGGATAATGCGGGCAAACTGCTGTATGATACACTAATCTGAAGATATGGAGACTTGTGGGTGGACTCCTTTGACTCGAATCAGGAAGCAACTATAAAGCATTGCACCATAAAACTCTAGGAACTGCATAAAAACACTATTAATGAGTTAATGAGTTATGGCAGAGTGGTAAAACTCCTAATCTTACATTACATGTATTGTTACTTCTTTGAAAAAAGCTTAATGAGAATTGAAGGAATTTTGTTAAAATATAATGACAAGAACAAATATGATGAATATGACCTCCATGACTGTGTGTGAAGGCCAATAACTCTGTTAAAATATTACATAATTTTCTTTTTATGAAAAGACAAAGTTGGTTTAGCTTGTAAAACACCATGTGGTTTAACTTCCCAAAAAACTTAATGATATTTGTGAATAAATGATTCATATTTTCTAAAAGTAAATATAAACACATTTATATATAAAAGTATAATGGCAATATGTAATTACTTTTTGTTTGGTTAGGCTATATCACATTAACTTTTCTTTAAATGTAATTCATTTTTTTTTTTGAAAAGCGAGCTATTTATAGTTGCTGTCCAAATCTTTATATTTTGTTATTTTTATTATTAGTATTATTTTTTTTTTTTATAAATCATTACTACTGGAACCCTTTACGTCTGTCTGTGGGTTTTGCTACTTTTTCACAAATAAAACTGACCAGAGTTATTATTGTATGCTTTTACTCACTTGGTTGGAGAAATAACTTCAACTTTATATATATATATATATATATATATATATATATAAAGCAAGATATACCAATATCAACACAGCGTTTAATTCTTAAAAAAAATACATTTTTTTTCCATTTCCTGAAAAGTATTTCATAAGAGGTTTTCACCCAACAGTGTTTGTCAAAACCACACGAAACCAACGTTTTCCTTTTTATCTTGGCCACTCTCATTTGTCAATGTCACTATAGTGTTGTTAGTATTGTGTCAGCTTTTGATTGACCGGTGCCTTTTGGAGTTTGGACAAGGTATAGATTTTTTTGGTGATATATCTTAATTTTTTTCAGAGTTGGCAAGGATCTGCCTACAAAATTCCCTCCATGTAATCTCATTATGTGGTGTTATTGGTTTTCTAAAAACAATCCGAGGTTTACCTCATTGGGAACTCCCCTCCCCCTCTGTTTCATCCCAGATTATTTCCCAACAATTGCAGGAAGAGTTCCACAACGGAGGGGCCTGCCCGAGCGTCACTGCGGGAGATTTACACCCCAGCCTTAAAGCCTCTCCGCTCTCTTACAGCTCCATCCCAGATTCCCAGTGAGGAAGTTCTAATGATGTCCCATGGTTCTCAGAGACTGGCGTTGACTCGTCTTGAGATCCCTCATTACCTCTTGGTAGAAAGACAGCGTTTCCATTCTAAACATCTTTGAAGGTGGCCTTTATTTTTCCATTGGATCCAGCTGGATAAACAAACCCTGGTCCACTCTTTAGGAATAGTCCTGCTTTTTATGATGAAGAGGTCTGATGTGGTTTCCTGGTCCTGGGTTGTTTAGTCCTCTACATTGGCTCTTGGTCTTTGATGTTGGTTCTTTTATTAATGTGGTCGTCCATCATTGATGAGGATATTATCCAGACACCAAACAACCCCATGATACCCATCACAAACACTTCTCGGTCATGTGTACTGTAGGTGCTGGAAAATCAAAAGGAAGACATAAGACACTTCCCTTTGCGGCATAAAAGAAAACAGATGTTTTACGCTTACTTTAAAGTTCTGTGCTATATTGTCAAAACAATGCAGGGAAATCACTATCCAGAGTTTTACGATTTACAATTAAATTCATGTCACAACATTATAACTGATGGAAGACTATAATATGGATAACTACTTGTTTTAAAATATGATAAAAAAAATAAGCTTATGTTGCTTGAGGATATGAATCTTATTATTGACTTTCACTATGAAGCAAAACTATGGAAGCTTGTGTCCGCCACTTAATAAAAAAAATAATTTTGACTTTTTATCACACAATTGCGTGTTATAAAGTCAGAATTGCGTGTTATAAAGTCAGAATTGCGAGATATAAAGTCAGAATTGCGAGATATAAAGTCACAATTGCGAGATATAAAGTCAGAATTGCGTGTTATAAAGTCAGAATTGTGGGATATAAAGTCAGAATTGCGAGATATAAAGTCAGAATTGCGAGATATAAAGTCAGAATTGCGAGATATAAAATCACGATTGCGAGATACAAAGTCAGAATTGCGAGATATAGTCGCAATTGCGTGTTATAAAGTCAGAAACACATGATATAAAGTCAGAATTGTGAGATATAGTCAGAATTGCGAGATATAAAGTCGCAATTGCGAGAGAAAAAAAGACAGAAGTGCGACTTTACATCTTTGCAAGTTTACATCTCACAATTGTGACTTTATATCACGCAATTGTGACTTTATATCTCGCAATTCTGACTATATCTCGCAATTCTGACTTTATATCTCACAATTCTGACTTTATATCTCGCAATTCTGACTTTATATCTCGCAATTCTGACTTTATATCTCGCAATTCTGACTATATCTCGCAATTCTGACTTTATATCTCACAATTCTGACTATATCTCGCAATTCTGACTTTATATCTCGCAGTTCTGACTTTATCTCGCAATTCTGACTTTAATCTCGCAATTCTGATATCTCGCAATTCTGACTTTATATCACGCAATTCTTCTGACTTTATATCTCGCAATTCTGACTATATCTTGCAATTCTGACTTTATATCACTCAATTCTGACTTTATATCTCGCAATTCTGACTTTATATCTCGCAATTCTGACTTTATATCT